TCAAGTCATAGCATACAGTTTAAAATTTCTTGAAGTTGTTTACACATGACCCAAAAAAAAGGATATAATGTATTCAGTGTCTACTCTGTGCCCAGCATTGTGCAATGGTTCAGAAACATGGTGGTGAATAGAGGCCCACGTGTTACCCTATTAATATTCCCTAGTGATGGTTACCCCCTTCCGTGAGTACCTCAACAAAATTCTTATGTTTCACAATATTGGGGAGGGGCCTTAACTGACTAGAACCTATACAAAATACATACAAAGGTATTTTCTTCTTTTTTCTGAGCCTTATACTTGTTGATATACTTGCTGACGTTAAAAATTTTTAATGTTAAAAATTTTTAAAATCATTTTTGAAGAATAGTCAGTTCTTATTGGTCTTGTAGTCAGTTCTCATTGGTATAAATTCATTTGTGTATATGCCCGGCAGGCTTACACACACACACATAGCTTCCCTGATTCTGTAAGCTTTCTAGAATTAGAACTTTCCAGTGGCACAACCTCAATTAGAAAACAATCATAGACACTTTTGATTCTCTTATTATTTCAAAACTACATAGAAGCCACTTGTGTAGATGTTAAGAAAAGAAAGGAATTACTGGTTGCTCCTTTGAATCTATAAATTCAACAAAGGAAATCTTAATAATTTAAGTTGTTTACTTACAAAACTGTCAGGTTGAGCTACACCAAATTTAACAACTTTAATTTCCTTTCCAAAATAAAAGAAAAATATTTTTTCTGTGATCTACTATAGTAAAGAAAAAAATACTCCCAATTCCCCACCTCCATTACCCATCATCACTCAACTGTTGGAAAAGATGCAGCTGTTCAATTATTTCTGTCAGCCATTCCCACCTCTTGAGAGATTATGCACACAATTCCCTTAAAACAATTTCTTTTACATTAAAGAGAGTATACATCTTGGCACTGTAGAATTGCAATGGAAGTCTCCCAAGCAGCCTTCTCACTAATACTTTTGGTCATTGTAGGGTAAGGTAAAAAGTATCAGGCTTTTCTGCCCTCCCGCCATTAGGATAGATGATGGACCTCTGTGGTCCTGAATGCATGCCTGATCCGGGCACCTGGAATAGGGTGTGGGCATATGTAGATGGGATTCACCTGGGCTAAGACTGGGCTTTTAAAGGCAGCCTCACGGAGACGCCAGCAGGAGCAGAAAAGCCGAGAGATAAACAGAGCCATGAGAACACAGAGAGAACGTGAGAGAAGGCCAGAGAGCCCAGAGTGAAGACTTGCTGGGGGCTGGGAGGCCTGCCAGCCTCCCCGTCCCCCAGCACCCCTGCCTGCCGTGAACCTGGTAATCCCAATAAAAGCCTGCAAAAGCCACCGAGGGCTCTAGGACTCTCTCCTCCTTTACCCTGTCTGCATAGAGTCATAGAAAACCTGTCCTGTGTCCTTCCTGCCCTTGCAGTCATATTTATCATAATAAACTTATTAAAGCCAAGAGGTTAAAAAAACTCTATTAACATATGCGCATACTGGTTAACCATGTTGATGTATGGCCAAGTACTTATGCTTCAGACAAATTGTGCTGCAGTATCTTTCCATAATAAACATCTAGGAAAGCAGAGAGAATTTCATTTCAATCAATGTTGCCTTAAAAATCTCCAAAGTAGATTGATAACATGTAACTTCAGACTTTAAATTATTAATGGTTGTCATGAGTTAAAATAAAACATGAAATCAAGATGAAGCTCACAGTGAAGCTGAGTTTACAGGAAGTGTTACAAAATTAAGAAAAAAGAAATACAGCATCAATAATTCAACAACTTGGTAGATTAAATGTGCAAACTTCAACAGCAAGAAAAATCACACTCAGTTTCTGGCTTTTAGTGTTTAAGGGAAATGTTTTCTTTTAATTGGAAAGGGCAGAGGGGATATGTCTCTCTTAATGTTTTTCCTTCTACTCAGCAATTAAAGAGAACAAGAAAAAAGAAACCATAAATTTAAGAAAAACCAAGAATGTCATTTTGTATCTTAAGGGGGCAGAGACTTTGTTAAAAGTCAGAAAGGTTTTAAAGATATAAAACATTGTGGCACATATCAAAAAAACAAGCAACAACAAATGTTGGCGAGTATGTGGTGAAAAAGGAACTCTCCTACATTGCTGGTGGGAGTGCAAACTGGTCCAACCACTATGGAAAGCTGTCTGGAGATTCCTCAGTCTACTAAAAATGGAGCTACCATATGACCCAGCAATTCCACTCCTAGGGATCTACCCAAAGGACACAAAAACATTGATTCAAAAGAACACCTGTACCCCTATGTTTACTGCACCACTATTTACAATAGGTAAAACCTGGAAACAACCCAAATACCCGAAAATAGATGACTGGATCAAGAAGATGTGGTGTATATATACACAACGGAATATTATTCAGCAATCAAAAAAGATAAACTCATGCCATTTGCATCAACATGGATGGAGCTAGAAGGAATTATGCTCAGTGAAATAAGCCAGAAGGAAAAAGAAAAATATCAGATGGTTTCCCTTATAGCAGGGATATAAGGGAACCAAATAAGACATCAGTGTAAAAATATAGTAACCATACAAAACACAACAAAGCAAAAACAGACAATTATAAATCAGAGACATACTGCAGGGGAGGAGGAGGGAGAGGGACCAGAAGGAGGGAGGGAGGAGCACAGAAGACTGATGTGATGGTGTATGGGTGCATTAGTGAAGGAAACTCTATGGGGACTACAGCTGAGGGGATGGGGGGAAGAAAATATTGTTTAAAAGTGAACAATGATGTAAAAAATACAAAAATTAATATTAAAAATGGAACATTCTCACTTTCTACCCCCAATATAAAAAAATCCATTTTATTAGAAATACAATTATTTTTAGATCTTTAGAGTGTGTATGGAAGAAAAATGTACATAGGAAATGGTCAGCAAGTATAAACATTAAATATATTAAATACAAAAATAACACTACTGAAAGTTCTAGTTCAAGAAAATGGTATAGGAAAAACCTGAATTTATCTTCTCTCACAGGACACAAATCTACAGCTATATATGAAATAAGTTACATGGAAGAAAACCTGAAAGTCAGATAACTATAGCTGGATGTCTAGAATTGAGGGACAGTGAGAAATACGACCAGAAGAATCAAAGAACTCTAGGGAACAGAGAACCTGTTCTTAGATGGCCTAAATAGAGGACTCATTTGCCCCAGGGACCCAGCATAATAACAAGTGCCCAAATCATAGGTGAAATCTCACTTGCCGTCTTCAGCACCTGGCTGAGAGACAGAAAACTTTAGAGATGATCTCTGAGTCAAAAACACTGTAGGCACCATCTTGGCAGCCTTCCATAACCTTGCTAATACCAGCACTGTTGGGCACCATTGTAGTACTTTCCCCCAATCTACTAGCGCCTGTGGGCAACCCCATTGTGAACTTTACCTACCCATGTGACATGCAGTGCCAGCTCTACACTTTAAAAGCCCATCAGACCTCCGTGCCTCAAAAGCACATTACAATTTCACACCAGGCTCCCAATGTCCATGGGTCAGGCTGCCAAAGCCCTCATGCCAGGCAGATTTGCAACAGGCTGAATGCCACACCAACAACCATATCACCAGGGTAGGCTGGTAGCCCCACCATCTGCTGAACAACAACAATGGACCCAGGTTGGGCAGTGTCAAGTTCAGCAAAGTAGAAGTTTACAAAACCAAACAGAAAAGTCAGTTGACTTCCTATATGCAAACAATGAGCTAGAAAAGGAAGAAACCAAGAAAACAATCCCTCTTATAATTGTATGCAAAAAACATGAAATACCTAGGAGAAAACTTAACAAAGGACGTGAAGAACCTATACAAAGAAAACTATAACTCATCATTAAATAGAAAACACAAAGAAATTATATTGCCTGATCATGGATTGGTAAAATTAGCATTGTCAGAATGGCCATATTACCCAAAGCAATACAATTCAGTGCAATCCCCACCAAATTTCCAATGTCATCATTCAAAGAAATAGAACAAACCCCACTGAAATTCATATGGATCCATGAAAGATCCATGACTGCCAAACAGTCATGACAAAAAAAGAGGAGGAATGGCAGTATCACAATTCCAGACTTCAAACTACACTGCACAGCTGTAATAATCACAACAATATGGTGCTGGAACAAAGACAGACATATAAACCAACGAGATAGAATTGAGATCACAAATGAACTCACACATATATAGACAGTCAATCTATGACAAAAGAGCCAAAATGTACACTGGAATAAGGAAAGCCTCCTCAATAAAATGTCTTTGGAAAACTAGGGTGCCACAGGCAAAAGAATGAAACTAGACTTCTATCTCACACCATACACAAAAACTAATTAAAATAGATAAAAGACTTGAATGTACAAAGTATATAGAAGAAAACACAGGCAAAACACTCCATGACATAGGCTCCAGCAATCTTTGTGGATCATTTCTCTTGGAATAAGGATTTCTGCTCCAGCTTTTATTTTCTTTAGTCTTTTCCTCACACATGTCCTATATAATCTCTGAGACTATAAACTTACATCAAAGTCATTGGGGTTATATTCCCACTAAAATTAGTGCTGAAGAAATGCCTATATTCGACAGCCTTAGACCTGTATCTGGAATATTTACTTACCACATGAGAGAACAAAATCAGAGAGGTGATTAGTACCTGCTTACCTTCCTATACATCAGTTTCTTCATCTATAACATAAAGCAAATGGGCCATCAGTTTCTTCATCTATAACATAAAGCAAATGATCTGAGTGTTGTGCATCTCCTGTCATTCTATACCCTTCCCTCAGTCCTTCCACCGGAAGTACTCAAATACTTATTGTTCCCAAACAACACTACACTCATGCCTCTGAACACATTCATATGCTGGTCCCCTGCCTTGGGCAGCCTCACCCATGAACAAACTGTCTTCCACCTCTGTCAGCTCTACACATCCTTTTGCGATTCAACTCAGACATCAAGATGGCTTCAAGAAGCTTCCCTCCACTACTCCTCCACGAGAAGCATCGCAAATACAAATTTAGGCCATTATCATTTACTCTCATGACACACAGAGCGTATTTTCATCATAACATCTATGCCATCCTATGTAATTCTCTCTTTACTTGTCCACTTCCCCTCCAAACTGTGATCTTCTAAGCAGCGATTCATTTGTACTGTCTCAGCACCTGTCAGACTTCCTGGAAGAAATGAGGAACTTGGTCAGTGTTTATCAGATGAACCAAAAAATTGCTATGGGTGGAAAAAAGGGCACGATACTGTGTCTATTCAAACATTTGACTTAATATTGGTCTTCTTTAGCGATTCAAGGATGGCTCTTATCTGCTAGTTCATAGCATGAATTCAGTAGATATTTATTTAGTGGATTTATTTAGTGGATGTCATTATAATTCTCTTGCAGAGGGAAAAATTATATTGGTATATATAGGCATATAGATATCTTTCACATGGACAAAGAACACTCCTTTGACACAGAGCACTACAATTTAGCCTTAAAAAAGTAAGCAAACATCATTTGAGGTCAATTTATCCAGAAAATCACCCTTCTCTCTGGAAGAAAGAAGGGGAGGAATAACCATTAATAGGGCCTCTCTGATGGGTGGCCCAGGGCTTCAAAAGATGCAGTGCCGTCAAGGCACTGTCAGCCACTACAACATAAGTTTGATCCCAGCCAAGGATATAACCCACATGGTGCAGCAGACCTCTCCTGTCTCACCCACTGCTCCCCTCAGCAGTGTATTTCAGTAGATCCGCCTGTCCTGATCCCCACTCTGTCTCTGGTGAATCCCCTCACCACCCCCCACACCTCTGGCCTACACCCCAGTTCTTGTATACATAAATAAATAAATCTTTTTAAAAAGAACCATTAATACTAGCTATTAAAAAATTGAAACATTGGGGCCTCATTGGTGGCGCAGGCAATTGAGCGCAGCAGCACTGTGAAGCTGTCCTCTGCAATGCCTGTTCGATCCCCGCCAGCAGGGGAAATACCCACAAGGCGCAGCAGACCTCTCCTGTCTCTTGCCCGCTGCTCCCCTCAGCAGTGTATTTCAGTCAGTCTGCCTGTTGTGCTCCCTGCTCTGTCTCTGGTGAATACTCTCACCCTCCCGCACATCTGGCCTGTACCCCTGTTCTTGTATAAATAAGTAAATCTTTAAAAATAAAAAAATAAATAAAAACAAAAATAAAAAATTGAAACATTGCTCATTTAATGCAAAATAAATTCACTAATAACATACATTTATTACATGTTGTAATTTTAATATATTTGATGTATTCAATTAAATACAATATTTTATTAAAATTAATTTCACTAATTATTTTACGTTTTTCAATGTTGCTACTAGAAAGTTTAAAAGTACATATATGGCTCACATTATATTTCTAGAAAAACTTGTAAACATTCCTTGGCTACTATACTCTGCATCTTTGATAACAAAGCTTTGGGATTTATTACCAGGAAATCCTCTTTATTCAAAGAAGTCCTACTCTTTTTCATTTTTCCAAAACCAACTCAATCAAAACCTATTCTTTCAAAACAGTGCCATCTGCTGAGATAAAAGAATAGCAGCTCTGGAATTTTGCTTCAAGTTCTGGCACCATGGTTATTTTCCCACTCATATTTACAAGTAAAAAAAAAAAAATTGCAGTGAACCCAAAGTAAAATTGTAGGCCTCCCTGATGGCTCAAGGGGTTAAGCACTGCACTATGAAGCAATCCGCAGCCTCTGCAGCACAAGTTCAATCCCCAGCCGGCCAGGGAGAAAACACATGGTGAGGCGACCTCTCCTGTCTCGCCCACTGCTCCCCTCAGCTGTGTATTTCAGTCAGTCTGCTTGTTCTGCTGCCCACATCTCTGACCTGTGCCCCTGCTCTTGTATGCATAAATAAATAAATCTTTAAAAAAAAAGTAATATTGTAACCACCACATTTTAATCTGTGATGGTTCCATGTGTACAACCTCTTTTTCTTTTGTCTTTCTATGGATAGCACAGGACAGCACAGAGAGCAGGGCCAAGCCTCCATCTCACTTAGCCTATCTAGCAGGCTCAGTGCCCTGTTGAGGAGGGCAGGAGATTGTGTTACCAGAGCTTTTTTATGTAAGAAGCACTGTTTATTAATGGAGTAGCCCCATCCTCACAGATTCTCCTTGGGGACATTTCAGTGCTATCTTTGTGTCTAAAGGCATTTTAAATTATCCAAATGAAGTCTGAATGAATTTTTACTCTTAAACACATATTAATCATCCAAACACTTAAGTTTCTGGGATTCCCAGTGGACACTGGAGTTTTTTTCCACAGCCACACTAGCACTCCCTGCCCACTGTAGGGTAAGGGGAAGTGGACAGAGAAGTAAAGCGATCAAACAATCCTTTGTGAAAGAAGTTTTGAGAACCTACCCATATACCTCCTTAAAACTATTCTCAAAAATGGAAGAGAGGGCCTCCCTAGTGGCGCAGTGGTTGAGCGCTGGGCTGCGAAGCTGCCCGTAGCCTCTGCAGCGCCAGTTCGATCCCTGGCCACCGGCGAGGGTCGCACATGGCGCACATACCTTTCCTGCTGTGCCTGCTGCACCCCTCAGCAGTGTATTTTGTCAGTCTGCCTGTTCTGATCCCCATTCTGGCTCTGGTGAATTCTCTCACACACACACCCCGCCACACTTCTGACTGTACCCAGTGCTTGTATAAATAAATAAATCTTAAAAAAAAAACTCATTTAAAAAAAAATGGAAGAGAGCCTGTCATTCTATGTTATTAATATATTTTCAGAAGCTGAATCAACCATAATTGGTACTAGCATTTCCCATTGACTATATCTTAAATTAGTTAAAAATAATCTAACCTGCTTAACTCTTCTCAAATCACCATAAGTTAGTGCTGGCCATTCTGGTGAATTATATATTACAAACAAATGTATGTGCTTTTGCATGAATGGCATGTGCATACACACATGCCCACATTTACTTTTACTCCAAACAGTAACTATTCTTTCTGTGAAATGGAATCATGGATGATTTTCACAATTTCCATCTTTATGGCTTTATATATATTCCAGACTTTCTATAAGAACAGAGAAAAGGAAGGAAAGGAAGAAGTGAGAAATGAAGAGAGAGGGGAAAACAGAGAGGGAGAGGGAAAGTGAAGGGATGAGAAGAGAAGACAAGAGAGAAGAAAGAAACAGGGATCCAGAGGGGGAAGAGAAAGAGGGGGCAGGAGAGAGAGAGAGAGAGAGAGAGAGAGAGAGAGAGAGAGAGAGATACTCTGTTCCAAAGCTACTCATTGTAGAAAAGGAAGTCAGTCATGATAAAAGCCCTTCTCTCAGAGAGCTTGGAGGAAGCATCTATAAAACTCAATAATGCACTTACATGATCATCTATCCCCCTTATACCCCTCACTAAAGACATTTTTTCCCAGAAGGAATGATAGTAGTGCATTCAATGAAGGAATTTTTTTCCTTTTCAATGGTTCCAGACAAAAATTAAAGATTCTTCTAATACTGGCTAAACTAAGTTTGAGCTGAAGATTCTTTTTTTGGCCACAATTTTAATGCTGATGCTCTAGATCTGTCTTCAGATGCTCAAAGACAACAATTTTAAAAGAATAACAACAAAATTAATTGTGGGACCTTCTTTCAATACTGTCAGCAGGAGTATACCAGCAGGCACACAGAAATTGTTCTATCCATTGAAAACCAATACTTTCAAGAATGATATTGACCTGCTAAGTAGTGAGTAACATGGCTAGGAGGAAAGTTCCAAAAATTCAATTTACATATATATGTTTCATGTTTTTTAAAATCACTGAAAGTCAGAACTCCCCAGAAGATTAACATTCCGAGATCTCACCAACCAGGGCCAGACCAGTGGGTGGACTGAGCACTGATTTGTGTTGATTGATGGCCTTTGTCACTCTGCCTTACAGCCTGTGAGCATTTGAAATTTCAAAATGGATGAAATCAAACATAACTGGCACTCCCGTTCAATGAAGCAGAGAAACTAGACTGAGAAGCCAAACCTTCTGTCAGAAAAAGAAAATGATCTGTCCAGACTAATCCGTCAGACTTTCAAACCTTCTGACACATTACATACCCTATGCATACAAAAGTATCTGTGATGAATGCATGCAGAGAAAAAACTGATGATGTTTCTTTTAAATCTAAAATAGATGTCTTTAAAAACTAATAATATACCTTTACTTTTAACTGAGAAATTATGCTTTAAAGTATTATAAACTCATTAAATTTCTTCTAATATCAAGGGGCTTATTACAATGTTTTTATTATTTTTTAAAATAGAGAACTGGTTAGTAAATTGTAACTAAAAAGCAATGGAACACAGAAATCATTAAAAATCACGTATTTTATCAGTTAAGATCTAGATAACATGTGACAAGTTAAAAGATTTTCAAATTGATATCAATTTCATATCAAATTATTATCAGTATGGATAAGATATATAGTTATAACTATATAACTTATAACTATATAACATAGTTATAACTTATAACTATAAAACATAACTATATAACTTATAACTGTATTTATATAGTTATAAGTATATTGGGATAAAAAACACTGAAACTTCACACACAAAATAGTTAATAGTAGGTGTTCCATGGCAGAATTACGGGTTATTTTTTTAGGTCCCCTGTATGTCTCTATATTTTCCCCAAATTCTAAAGTAATATGCAATGTTTATATAAAAAGAAAAAAATTATAATCCCAGCCTATATAAATTTCTCTCCCAATATATACCTCTATTTATTGAGTGTCTGCATCCTCTACTAAGGCTTAAGAAACACTAACTGCATCCATGATTACTTTTTCCTTCCCATACATTTTATCATTCCTAGAATTAATAATTGTCTCATATTTTATTTGTTTGATTTCTATGTATTTAGAAATGTTGAGGGTGATAGTTTCACCAAAAACTTCAACCTATTGCATTTTCTCTTTGTACAAAGACAAAATGTAGTCATTCAGCGTCATTTTCTTGAGGGTGTCTCCCTACAAGTCATCTGACCTTTTCTAATCTGCTCAGGTCATTTCCTCTTCTCTTGTGGCACAGATTTTATCCTAGGGCCTCCCTTACTTAGATTGGGAATCTCTCTACCTCTTTCTTGTATTGGCTTACCTTTTTCTTGTAAACCAGCCTCCTGTATTTTGCTTTAACTTTCTTTTACT